AGAAAGAAAGAAAGAAAGAAAGAAAGAAAGAAAGAAAGAAAGAAAGAAAGAAAGAAAGAAAGAAAGGCTGTACAGTCCCTGAGCTTAGTTCTTATTTGCACACATTTCATGACCCAACTAGGGAACATCATCAGTGCTAGTGGTGTTTGTGGAAAAGAGGAGGAGGAGGAAGAGGAGAAGGAGAAGGAGAAGGAGAAGGAGAAGGAGAAGGAGGGTCATGGTGCTCTCTGAGCTTGGCTGTTTTCTTGCAGACATTTCATGACCCAACTAGGGAATGTCATCAGTGCAGCTGAGTGTAGGGTTTGCTTCTTATTCGATACTTCAGTTTGCTCTGCAGGCCTCGGTGGGAGTGTGGTTTTCTTGATTAAGGTATTGTATTTTTGCTGGGGTTTTATTATTATGTTTGTTTCTGCTTATGTGGGTGTCGGCATGATGGCTCCATCCTGGCCAGTCCATGAACCTCCAAGGGTGGTGAGGGATCCCAGTTGCCTGTGGCTGAGGGAGCCGATCCGATCTTCAAGTTCCCCATTTAGCCTAAGAACTTCAGGCAACTTCCAGGGGGTTCAAGGAAAGGAGGACTCTGTGGCTGTCCAGCCTCTGCTTGTGGGAGGGTCCTATCTTACCCCCCCCCCCATCAAAAGTATTTGGGGAGGGGGCTCCGTGGGTGTGCAGAACCAGCACAGAAAGTCTCTGCCTCCGATTACCTGTAATTCCTCCTTCCTCTTTGGCGGAAACCAGGATTGTGCATGTCCACCACCTGATCCCAGCCAAGAGACGGGGGAGGGGGGGGGCATTTATAGTGTCCCTCCCTCCAGAATCCTGGGAGGTTGACCTGAGAATTTTTCTTTCGGGGAAAAGACTGAGGGGGAGGTAGGGTGGAGCTTCAGCTGGCAATGTACCCTCCTTGGATGTTTGGAGATATTTGGGGTCCTGAAGGGTCCAGAGATGGGATCTTCCTTGACCTGAGACTCCAATTCCAGGAGAACCTCTCGGCCTCGGGATCTTCTATTCTGCAGAAAAACCTGGGTTGTGTCCCCAGGGCCCTCAACAACGTCCTTGTCTCAAGACCTGTAAACATGACTGGCTATGTCCTGGGCAGGAGAAATGTTGCCGTTACGGTTGCCTGTCTGAATGCAAGGTTCCTGTCCATGGGAAGTAGGGTAGGCCCCATACGTTGTCACTTGTGCGGTCTGCTTAGATCAGGGGTTCCCAACCTTTTTTTTCGCCCCGCACCCCTAAAGAAATTTCACTCGAACCTCTCACCCCCTGAAATTTAGACTTTAGGAACTACTCGACGCGTTACATATATGGTGGGGTTGAATCTTTTCAGCTATGTGTGTGTGACGGCCACTAAATAACGATACTTAACTCTAAAATGAAAACAAAGTCAATCCATTGCATAGTAAGTAAATAAATAAATAAATAAATAAATAAATAAATAAAAATAAAAATAAATAAAAATTACCTGGACTTTTCTCGCACCCCCTGGAATATCGTCTCGCACCCCCAGTGGGTGCAACCACCCCAGGTTGGGAACCCCTAGCTTAGATGAAAGGAATGGTTGTGTGGGGCCTCCTGGACTTAGACATGGTCTGGGGTCTTTCAGGTTCTCGTCATGTCCATCAAAGTTATGGCTGATGTTAAAAACAAGAGGGAGGTGTCAGCCTTGGAAACTGTATTTTACTTGGAAGCTTCGAGGCTGCAATATTTGGTGCCTGGGAATTGGGGAGGGGGGATTTAACAGAGAAGTGGATGATTAGACTTCACAACTTGACAACATTCTTTCTCAGGAAGTCAAGGACAAGTTGCCCTGCACCTGGAGAGGGTTATCTGGAGGAAAGTCTTCAGGTGGAACAATTTTTGATTGGACCGTGTGATGGACTGGTGGGTGCAGGGGAGGGGACCTTTGATTTCTCTTTTGGGAAGGGGAAACCCAGAACTCTCAGATTTGGGGTTTCCCAGATGTGACAACTCTCATAAAATGGACCTTTGAGAAAATGTCTGTCTCAAAATGTATTGGTTTGGGGTTGGTTATTTGGAAGGCTGACAGTAAGTGCCATGATGCTGAAGCAGACCTTGCTGTGGTGGGGGCCTTCTTCTTGATAGGTACCCATTCCCACTCTGTGGAAGCCATGTGACTCAGTGGTCCTCCCCCCAGTTTGGCTGCTGATGGGAGAACATGGTCCTCCTGCCAGCCTGGTTGGAGAACGTATGTTGGA